AAATTCTGCGAAAATTATTCAGTAAATTCTCAATTAATTGCTCAGTAAATTCCTTGTAAATCCTCAGTAAATTATTTAGAAAATTCAAAGTAAATTTTTCGTAATTTTAGGGTTAATTACTCAATAAAATCTTAGTAAATTACTTATTGTATTCTCAGTAAATTACTCAGAATATTACCCAGGAGATGACATCGGCTCAAAACAAGGATCCAACAACGGGATGGAAAAACATCGGCTAGGGAGGACGACGCTTGACTAAGCTGTGCCACACCTTGGCCGGGGTGCGCCACATCTCGGCCTAGGCCATACCTTCCTGCGGACAAGGTTCAAGTGCGAAACATCTCGGCAAAGAATGCCCGAGGTGAAGATGGGGTTGAACAAGACCTCAAGATAGTTCTAAGTACAAAGGGTCAAAGGCGAACTAAGCTCAAGATGATCTCGGCTACGCACACGCACTAAGCAAGGAACAAAATCATGCAAGCAACTTAAGCGAACCAAGGCAAGATAAAACCTTTAAATTAACATGACAAGCAAGACCATGCAAGAATGTATGCAAGTATGACAAGAATAAGGTGAGGGTTGTTACATAGCCTCCTTGCCATAATGTTTCACCCATTCGATTTTTACCATCGATATCGACTTGTTTCTCAACTGTCTCACCTGTCTGTCAATAATTCTCATCGGTTTCTCTTCGTAGCCTAGATCTTCATTAACTACAATCCCGGAATAATCTACTACATGCAGTGGGTCTCGGATATATTTCCTCAACATCGAAACATGAAACACGCTGTGGACTTGGCTCAAATCTGGTGGCAAAGCAAGTCTGTAGGCAACGGCGTTAACCCTCTCAAGAATTTCAAATGGCCCAATGTATCGGGGTGCAAGTTTACCCTTCTTCCCAAATCTTGAAACTCCTGTCATCGGCGAGACCTTTAAAAATACATGATCCCCAATTTCAAATTCTAACTCCCTCCTTCTTTGGTCGGCATAACTTTCTGTCGACTCTGTGCGGTCTTAATCCTCTGCTGAATGAGTTTAATCTTTTCAGTTGTCAATTGAACCAATTCGGGGCCAATTAGAGCCTTGTCTCCTACTCAGTCCAACATATCGGCGATCTGCACTTCCTTCCATACAAAGCCTCATTACGGGGCGCCTATCCTACTGTTGTTGTACGCGAACTCTACTAATGGCAAATGTGATTCCCAACTTCCCTGGAGGTCCAACACGCACAGTCTGAGCATGTCTTCGAGTGTCTGGATCATTCTTTCCGTTTGCCTGTCGGTCTGGGGGTGAAAGGCTGTGCTAAATCTCAACTCGGTTCCCAAGGCTCCTTGTAGACTCTGCCAAAATCTAGAAACGAACTTCGGATCCCGGTCTGACACAATGGACATCGGCACACCATGTAGCCTAACGATTTCATTCATGTATAGTTCGGCAAGTCGGTCGGCATTGAACGTAGTCTTGACAGGTAGAAAGTGTGCTGACTTAGTAAATCTATCAATTATAACCCAAATCGAGTTCATACCTTTCTGCGTCCTCGGCAAACCTACTACGAAATCCATGGAGATGTGTTCCCATTTCCACTCAGGAATTGACAAGGGTTGAAGAAGTCCTGCCAGTCTCTGGTGTTCTGCCTTCACTTGCTGACAACACAGACACTGAGATACAAACTCGGCTATCTCTCTCTTCATGTTTGGCCACCAATAAGTCCGCTTTACGTCCTGATACATCTTGGTGCTCCCTGGATGAATGGCAAACTTGGAGCTATGGGCCTCTTGCAAAATCTTCCTTTTTAACTTAGGCAGGTCGGCCACGCACAATCTCCCTTCAAACTTAAGCACCTGATTTTCCATTGTGTAACCTGGCCTCGGCTTGGAGACGAATTCATCAATTACCCTTTTGAGGAATTTATCCTCCATCTGCCTAGTCTTCACTTCCTCAATAATGGTCGGTTCCACTGAGATCGTTGCCAGACACGCCAAACTTCCAACTAGCTTCCTGCTCAACGCGTCGGCTACGGAATTCGCCTTACCTGGATGATACTGAACTTGCATGTCATAGTCCTTCAATAGCTTGAGCCATCTTCTCTGCCTCATATTTAACTCTTTCTGAGTGAACAAATACTTCAGACTTTTGTGGTCGGTGAAAACTTGACAAGGTGTTCCATACAAGTAATGACGCCATATCTTCAAAGCAAAGACTACGGCCGCCAGCTCCAAATCATGGGTAGGATAGTTCTTTTCGTTGGGCTTCAACTGACGAGACGCGTACGCTATGACCTTACCTCCTTGCATTAACACGCAACCCAAACCCTTATGTGAAGCATCACTGTAAATCTGAAATTCCTCATTAGCTGATGGTAGTACAAGAACTGGTGCTGTAACTAATCTCGTCTTCAACTCCTGAAAGGATGATTCTCTATCATTAGTCCATTCATAAGCTGTTCCCTTCTTAGTTAGTTGTGTCAATGGTACTGAAATCCTCGAGAAATCCTTCACAAACTTCCTGTAATAACCCGCCAAACCCAGGAAACTACGAACCTCGGACACGTTGGTTGGCGTTGGCCAATTCACAATGGCTTCAATCTTACTGGGGTCAACTGATATACCATCTTCATTAATCACATGCCCTAAAAATGAAATGCTGGAAAGCCAAAACTCGCATTTGCTCAACTTGGCGTACAATTTCTTATCTCTCAAGATTTGCAGGGCAAGTCTCAGATGATTCTCGTGCTCGCTCGTACTCTCGGAGTAGATCAATATGTCGTCGATAAAAATAATTACGAACTCATCTAGATACGGCTTAAAGACTCTATTCATCAAGTCCATGAACGCTGCTGGCGCATTGGTCACTCCGAATGGCATTACCAAAAATTCCTAGTGACCATACCTTGTCCGAAAGGCAGTTTTCTCAATATCCTCGGCTTTAACCTTCAACTGGTGGTAGCCCGATCTAAGGTCAATCTTGGAAAAGACTCGTGCTCCTCGTAGTTGATCAAGTAAGTCGTCGATCCTAGGCAAAGGGTACTTGTTCTTAATAGTCACCTTATTAAGTTCTCTGTAATCAATGCAAAGACGAAGTGTGCCATCCTTTTTCTTAACAAATAGAACGGGTGCTCCCCACGGTGAAGTGCTCGGCCTAATAAATCCTTTATCCAACAGTTCTTGTAATTGCGATTTCAGTTCTCTCAATTCAGCTGGGGCCATTCTGTAGGGTGTTTTGGAGATAGGTTGTGTTCCCGGCATGATGTCCACAGCAAACTCTATTTCCCTATCGACTAGGTGGCCAGGCAACTCATTCGGAAAGACGTCGGGGAACTCCTTAATAACGGGTATGTCGGCTAACTCAATACTTACATTCAAATCACTTAGTATGCTGCACAAATAACCCTGACACCCTTTTTGGATCAACTTATAGGCCTTCATGGATGAGATTAAGTAAGGTGGGGGTACTACTCCTTTACCCTGGAAGATGACCTCGGCCTTGCTTGGGGTCCTCAATGTGACGCTCTTAGTAACACAATCAATGGATGCGTGATTCGCTACTAACCAATCCATTCCCAATACGACATCGAAATGAGTCATGCTTAATGGCATCAAATCAACTAACAACTCTACACCCTCAATCACGATAGTACACGCCCTATAAATGGATGCAACAATCATATTTCTCCCAGATGGAGTAGACACAGATAATACATAGTCAAGGGGTTCTAATTTCCTATTCAACTTCTCAGCAAATGCAGCAGACACAAACGAATGCGTAGAACCCGAATCAATCAATACGTATGCATCTTGAAAACAAATTGGAAGGGTACTTGACACTACTGTCTCGGCATTCTGAGTGTCTCCTGGCACCAATGCAAAAACTCTGCCCTGTCTCATCTATCCTTTCCCGACGTTGCCTTTCTGCGCCGAACCCGAGGTGTTCCCATTCTTCTTACCATCGTCAGCCTTTGTCTTCGGGCAGTCCTTCACTCGGTGACCCATCTCGCCACATTCAAAGCAAGCCCCTGACGCCCAACGACAGACCCCGAAATGTGGCTTCCCACAACTTGCACACGTCGACTTAGCATCACCTTCCTGATTTGAGTTGCTGGAACTGCCCGTGTTCGCCTTCCTCTTGGCATTAAACGGTACTCGGCGATTCTCATAGTTCTGTCTCTTCCTCTGGCTCTCCCCTGAACTATGATATCAGTTCAAGTTAGCTTCTGCCAGGATGGCTTTGTCTAACACTCCGGCGTAAGTTGGCATGTTGAGCATGTTAACTCGATCCTGTATCAGTCCACACAGTCCGCTTTCAAACTTCCTAGCTTTTCTATATTCATCATCGACCATATGAGGCGCATATCTCGCCAACTCGGTAAAAGCACGGTCGTATTCAGCCACTGTCTTGTTGCCTTGTGTCAGAGTCTGGAACTCTGTGATCTTGCGATCTCGGACACTGAGGGGAAAATGCTTGTTGTAAAACAACTCCAAAAATCTGGCCCAAGTCAATCCTGGGTTACTTTCTCGAATCATCATCCACCATCTTCGAGCATCGTCGTCTAATGTGAATGCTGCTAATGACACCTTCTGAGCGTCGATGCTGGGAAATATCTCGAACAACTTCTCCATTTCCAAAACCCATGCTTCGGCTTTTATTGGCTCTATACCCCCTTGGAATCTTGGGGGGTTTATCTTCTTCAACTCTTTGATCAAGGTTATCGTGTCGTCCCCATATAAAGCTTGCTGTGGAGGCACTTGCGGCACTAAGATTTGCAGGGCAAGTCTCAGATGATTCTCGTGTTCAATTGTACTCTTGGA